AAAAAAAAAAAACCCGGAATAATTTCCTCCTCAGAGCTCGGAGAGCAATGGCGAAATCGAGCGCCGACGACGAAGAGCTTCGCCGCGCGTGCGAGGCGGCGATCGAGGGCACGAAGCAGAAGATCGTGATGTCGATCAGGGTGGCCAAGAGCCGCGGGATGTGGGGCAAATCCGGCAAATTGGGCCGCGGGGGCATGGCGAAGCCTCGTGTTCTCGCGATTTCAAGTACGCCTTGTTTCCATTATTTTCTTACAATTTTTCGTTTGAAAGCATGCGTTGGGACATGTTGAGATGGTTTTGAGTGATCGTTAGCTGCTTCTGGTTTCCGGTTTGATTTAATTTTCTGCTGAGTTTTTAGTCCTTAATGTTTATGGTATAGAACAGCAATCAGCTCCTTCAATAGGGATGGGTTAATAGTGTACGCAGATGCTGTTATATATAGTTAATCCACTCTTTTGGTGTTGGGGCTTAAATTGTTGAATGCATGAATGTCCACGAGAATCTTACGAATCATTGTAGCTTTGAGTAGCACGAGAGGGTTCATTCACGGTCATATTCTTCTGGTCAGTAGGCCCAAATCGGTCGTGACACAAGACTGTTCATGTTCATGCTGACATAGCTTTGCTATAACTGTTTGATGCTTCCTTGGTATTCATATGGCAATACTAGTGCATATGAATATAATCGAATTATAACCATGGATCAGTTTCAGAAAATTTCAGTTCTACTTCCCCAACGGGAAATGAAAACAATTTGGATGGAATTAAATAGCCCTTATCAAACCATTTGTTCAACGTAAATTATATACTTGACTTCTTTCCATGCCTTTGGCTGTCCATAATGCCGATGGTCTAAATGAGTAACTATGCTAATTAAATTTTCATCAAAACGAGTGTAGAATATATATCCTATCAAGCTACTGATTACCTCGATTAATAAATGCGTGTGATTTCTTTCCAGCAAAGGCGAAAGTAAAACGGACTAAAGCTTTTCTCCGTGTCTTTAAATATTCCAATGGAGGTGTTCTCGAGGTGAGTCTCTAAATGGTTTCCTTGATTTATGCATACCTGTGTATAAAGTTTTATTCTGAGCTGAACCTAAAAAGTACACCTAGACACAGCAAGAATAACTGCAGACCCATCAGCAAACAGTATTAAGAAATGTAGCAAGTTAAATTTTCATAAAATTGATTGGTGTTCTTGAAGCTTTCTTGAGTTATATACAGTGGGTTTTATGAGTTCTTTTTATTCTTCCTTCTTATAGCCTGCAAAATTATACAAGCTGAAGCATCTTTCGAAAGTGGAAGTTGTGACAAATGATCCCAGTGGGTGTACTTTTATGCTGGTATATCTCATGACTTTTTATATTTTTCAGAAGAACAAATGTTTAGTAGAACTTATGATTTTACCTATGTTAGTTTCATATTTTTTCTCTCATTATTGTTGGACTGGTTCATACAGGGTTTTGATAACCTTAGAAATCATACCGTCGCCCCACCACAGTGGACGATGCGAAATGTTGATGACAGGTTTGCTAGAGATCCTGATTGCAAAATACATTATTTATTTGGCAACTGTCTCGAAACACTTACCCTGAAATTAATGATCTATATTGTAGGAACCGTCTTCTGCTTTGCATGTTAAATATCTGCAGGGATGTTTTGGGCCATCTGCCTAAAGTTGTTGGGATTGATGTCGTGGAGATGGCTCTTTGGGCTAAGGTTGATAGTGACATTTAATCAGATTTCTTAATCCTCTGTCCTATACTTTTTCTTTTTATTATATATTGTAAGGGAAATGTTCATCATGCTCTCGCTCTCTCTCTCTCTCTCTGTCTCTCTCTCTCCCTCCCTCCCTCCCCTCCTCTCTTCGTGTCTCTCTTGTTTACTTTTTCAATCAATCATATTGAAGATGGAGGCCGCTTTTTATCCATACAGGAAAATACACAAGCAATAACTAAGCGACAAGGAGACTTTCAAGATGGTCCTGAGTTATATGCTGTTACAGAAGGTGACATGCAAGTGACGGTGGAAAAGGAACTCGTGTCTCAGGCGGAGGAAGAGGACATGGAGGCTCTTTTAGGCACGTATGTACTTCAATTTCAAAACTCTATCCCTACCGTCATTTTGTTGAATCCTTGGAGTATGCACAAATCAACTGTGATTTTTTTTTTTTTCCATATAATGCTGTTGTGGAACGTCAAGTTTAAGACAAGTATTGTGACAATATTAACTCAATAGTTATCAACTTGTATGCTGCTCATGGGAAAGATGATTTAGACACTTGGGTCAGCCTCACTGACAACATGTCTGTTTCTCTGGAAGAACCTTATCTTCGTTTCATCCATGGATTTTGCACTCGCATCTTGTAGATAGTACATTTATTTTGTCTCTTTGATGTTTGACGACCATTCTGATTTTCATCCATGTTTTGTCATAAGTTGCTTTATATGCACGTGTAATGTATTAGTTGATGGCACCAGAAGAGTATAATGACCTAGAAAAATGTGAATATTTCTTTCAATTCCCTGTTTGTACAAGGTTAAGTCTCCAGAGAACTGTGCTAGAGTCTGCACATTGCTTCTATTCTCTGTTTCTTCTATTCCTCCTAGTAACTATAAGCTATGTGTGGTAGCTTGTTATACTTTATACTTCGGAACTACTCTTTATGTATTACCTGACCCAAGTGCTAAAGTTGCTCAAAGTTGTTTGGTATGCAGTTATGTGATGGGTATTGGTGAAGCAGAAGCATTTTCTGAAAGGTTGAAGAGAGAGCTTCAAGCATTAGAAGCTGCAAATGTCCATGCGATATTGGAGAATGAGCCTCTGATATCTGAGGTGTTATTTATTTTTATTTTTTTCCTGTGCGATGGGTCTTTACATCTGTATAACCTTTTAATTATTTGGATGACTTTCTATACTTCTTCCGCATTGTTTTATATGGAAGAATGACGTACATTTTTTCAGTCTTAGTTCGGTACATCCTGCTGGAAAGCTGTTTAGTGGCAACCTGGTTAACTACGTCTTTCCAGTTAGCATGGCTTCTCTGTTTGTTATACAGGGTGGTGACACTTTTGTTACATGTTGAAAGTAACAACTTATAATGCATTGTAGTTGCATATAAAACATAAAGGAACAATGTTTTACTTTTCATGGCTTTTTCATTTGTTGTAGAGACTAAAGTGGTGTGCACTTACTTCAGTGAAACCTTTTACTTGATCACTTCCACTTTTATGGAAATTTTAGGGATCAGGCCATCATCCTTATTGACCAATATTTTCTCTTGTCACCTCATGTAGATAATATCCTTTTTTAATTATTCCCTTGGCTTCACCAGTACTATTACAGTGGTTCATCCGTGCAGATGATCTTGCAGGCTGCTAAACATATTTATCATCATTCTTCCATGGGGATGATTAATTAGGTTTTGGAAAATATGAGGCAAATACATATTCTTTAAAGAGCAAAAGGCTTGGCATTCTCCTGATAAGGATCATCAAGTTTTATCTTGGCCTTCCAAGTTCAAGTTACCAGATATTTACTAATACAATTTTAAATTTCTGGATTCTGCAGGTGTTGCAGGGGCTGGAGGTAGCTAGTAATTGTGTTGAGGACATGGATGAATGGTTAAGCATTTTCAATGTGAAATTACGGCACATGAGAGAGGACATAGAATCGGTATCGATTTTGGACATTTTTATATGAATTAGCCGTTCTGCAGTGATCTTACTGTTACAAGCTGTATTGCTATGCTCATATATGTTGCTGGTATCCAAGTAAATTGAATTATGTGGAATATTAGAGACAAATTGGGTGTAAATTGTTAATTGAACTATCCAGATAAATTTCTTGCCTTCTATTATTTACGCAGATTGAAGCAGGGAATAACAAGCTGGAAATGCAGTCAGTAAACAACAAATCATTAATTGAGGAGCTTGAAAAGCTTCTGGAACGTTTGCGGATACCGTCAGAGGTCCTTCCATAGTCATTTGATATTATGGAATGCATTATTTGTTCGACGAGATGATCTTTATAATAATTAATTTTTTGTAACATGACTTCCTGAAATGTCATTTTTTCTCATCTTTCTTTATTTTTTATTTTTATAAAAAATCCTCTTATATGCAGTATGTGTCCTGTCTGACTGCGGGATCATTTGACGAGTCTGACATGCATCAGAATATAGATTCATGTGAGTGGCTAGCCAGTGCATTACAAGATCTCCAAGTGCCCAACTTGGATCGTACCTATGCAAAAATGAGATCAGTATGTAGAATTTCTATCTTGCAAGTGGTATCTCTTCCATTAATATTTTTTTTGATAAAATTTTAACATGAAAAGGGGCACTCCATAAGTATCATGGGTTATAATAATTTGGAAAGTTGATATTAAACTAACGTTACGTGTGTGCCTTTAAGCACCTTAATGATATAATAAGGTTCACTTGTTTCTGGGACTGGTTAATGGATAAGATGTATTGATCATATTGAACTCCTAGATGTAAGGGATTTGTGGATTCCAATGAGGTGAATTTCCTGGAGCTAGAGTAATTACCTATTGTTAGCTTCCATATTTACAATAGTTGTATTGTATCTCATAATCTCTTGTTTTGAAAAGTTGAAATATGGTCCGGAAATGATTGTACACAAGTCCCCAATCTGAACCTCCCGGAGTATTTGCATTAAATGGCATGACAAAGTATAAGCCAGATTTGATAATGACAGCATGTACGGATGCATTTTCATAGTCTATTTTCACTTTCCAGACTTGCAAAATTAATATTGAGAATGTTTAGGTTTTAATGTGAAAATCGAAATCATGCTTCGTTGAATGACTGAGCATTAAGGTATTGAAATGAGAATATGTTTGATCAAGCAGTTCCTGAGTAATTTGTATTTAGATAATAAAAGGTAATTGTGGTGGATCCGATCAATACTTTATTTTTTGGTATATAAGACTGTATTGCGAGATTGTTGATGGTGGGTGAAGTTAGATAGATATAATTTGAAATTGGAATATATTAAATAGATATATAGTTGCAGAATAATGTTGGAGAGTGTTCACCAAATGCACTTTACATTTGGTATTCTTCCAGCATACCGTGAGTTGAGCTTAACTTCCCCCAGTCCTTCAACCTAATTCATTATCCTATCATAAGTTCTCCCTGCCTCCCATGATAGCAATTTTTAGACCAATAAATTTGTGACATCTTAGACCCGTCCTACTTCAGTGACCTGTGAAAATCTTAATTTTACATAGCCGCAGATGATTCCCATGTACTATCTGTTCTATTGATTCTGTGTTCGGTTTTCCATGCTTGATTCAAATTTTCATTTGGTAATCATCAACTGGTAGAGGTAATAAAGCCTAGTTTTAATTATGCAGCTCCTGTTGGTGGAAAAGTAACGATAGTTTGGTGAAGGAAAAAGGATCCTATATATGATTAAAAACTTGAGCTATGGGATGAATTTTTAATTTTCCGAGTTCAAATAAATATTAAACAGCAGTTTTTGACAATTTTTGGATTACTGTTCCCATTGATTAAGATGTATGAAACTCTTACAGGTTAGAGAAAAGCGTGCAGAACTTGATATGTTGAAAAACACCTTTGTTAAAAGAGCAATAGAGTTCCTGAGGAATTATTTTGCGAGTTTGGTGGATTTCATGATAAGTGATAAGAGCTATTTCTCTCAGGTGCTTATTATTTTGGGTGTGGACGCGCTTATTATTTTGCATCGTTTGTTGAGCTGATTTCTCTCAGGAGCCACAGTGAGCTAATTTCTATTCTCTTGTTTTTTCCTCAACGCATGGATCATATAGCGTGGACAACTGAAGAAGCCTGATCATGCTGATCTGCGGTACAAGTGCAGGACATATATCCGCCTTTTGCAACACTTGAAGGTAAGGTCGAAGAGTTATCTTCACAACTTTGGCAGTTTGATTCCATTGCCTTCGTTTATTTGCTTACCTTCTGCCACATATTCCTCTTGTTTCTATGTTATGTGCAGAATCTTGATAAGAATTGCTTGGGCTCTTTGAGGAAAGCTTACTGCAGCTCTCTGAATTTGCTTATTCGTCGGGAGGTGAGATAAACAATGATGTTTATGTAGGTCTTGAAGTTAAATTTGTCTCCCATTAACATAACTGTTGTTATTATCATCTCATTTATAATAGAAAATTATTATTATTTTCAGCAACTACTCCAGTTTGTCTAGTTGTCTTGTAATGTAATTCTGTTGGGTATTGTTATCTGAAGAAGGTTATAGAGATACCGAATTTGGATGGGCGAGGACGGAGCTACACAGATTTCACTAACGGATAAAACTGAAAAAAAAGAAGAAAAAGAAGAAACCAAAACACTGATTATAGCTTATAAGAGATGTTCAACAATTCAAGTAGTTAGATGTAATGAATGGATTACAAACCAAAAGGAATGAAGAAAATTTTGTTATTACATCATCTCAATGTAGGAAAAATGTACTTGACTCTTTTCTGGGAGAATTAAGTGGGGGAAAAATTACTCTTCTGCATGTCCGTGGAGTTTTGAATAATCCAAATACTTCAGTGATAGATATAGGTTAGGAGTTTCTTGAACGAACAGCACTCTTTGGTATACATCAGATATCTTTTGAGCAATGATTAGGAGCTACAATCTAGTTTGCTTAGTCACGAGGTTAAATTATCAATTTTTTTGTTGTTTTTTTTTTGGAGGCGGTTTGCATTAACACTATTCATACATGATCCACAACATGCCCCTTCAGATGGGCATTTTAACGGTCCCATTGATAATTGGAGTTGTATGATACAGTTCAAAATAGATGTTTACTAGAAAAACGTAATGCTCTCCAAGCACTCTGTACATTGCTCAACGACAAGTTGTCTGGAGGTGTGTGCCGCTAGAACTCACCTAATAGTTATAGAACGAAATGTCTTAGAAACACCGTTACAAAGTCTTAGAAAGAAATGTTCTTAAATATAAGAAACACCGTTACAAAGTCTTAGAAAGAAATGAAAGAAGTGAAGATTGTGAATAACATTTGAGTCTAAATGGTGTAATTCACTATAAGTGCCAATTAACAGTTCTTGGGTACGTGAAAAATCATACAATTGGTTTTTTTTCTTAATGGAAAAATATGAAGTACTTCTATGGGAACATGTAACACTTACTATGTTTGTTATTAATGTTGCTTCCTTTTATAGTATGTTAGTGTGTAATGGCAAGCTGAGAACATGTTCTACATTTCCCAGGCTCGTGAGTTTGCAAATGAGCTTCGTGCTAACACAAAAACACCAAAGACTCCAAGTGTATGGCTTGAGAGTTTCACAAGCGCTAATCAAAGTGCAAATAATGTTGATACTTCTAATGTTTCTGATGCATATGCCAAGATGCTCACAATTTTCGTTCCAGTTCTTGTGGATGAGGTTACAATCAACCTTTGAGACTCGATTTATTGTTCCGTGCTTCTATTTTATTGTCTTTCCTGATGTTATGCTAGTTTCCATATATGAATTTACTGTAATTAATGGACTGCAGAGTTCTTTCTTTGCACACTTCATGTGCTTTGAAGTTCCAAATCTTGTTCCACCAGGAGACCCTGGCAATGGCAGTGGACCCAGTGGTGGAGAGGATGATGATTTGGGTATCATGGACATTGATGATAGCGAGAAAGCTGGTAAATTTTCGTGGTTTCTCAACTCTCGTGTTAGCCCATTGCTAATTGTCATAACTGAATTCAGGTAAAAAATCTATGGATCTGGAGGCGTTAAATGAGTCACTTCGTGATTTGCTTGATGGGATACAGGTATCTTGGATATGAAGCTTTTTTTTAGCTTCAGTATTCATTGCTCTCCTTTTCCGTCTTTTTTGGTTGCATTGCTGTTATTCACTAATGAAAAATTCCCCTCCATTTTCTTTTTATTATCTATTTAGGAAGATTTCTATGTAGTTATGGACTGGGCGTATAAGATTGATCCTCTGCGTTGCATATCAATGCATGGAATCACGGAACGTTATATTTCTGGTCAGAAAGCTGATGCAGCAGGCTTTGTGCGTATTTTACTTGATGACCTGGAAAACAGAATCTCTATGCAGTTTAGTCGTGTAAGTTAACCCTTTAAAATAAAAGTACTCCTTTATGAGAAACTATATATAGTTTTTTGTTTTTTGCCAATAATGAAGATTGTTTACTGAACGGACTGTGGGATGAATTTAGATGGAATTATTAATGCTTATAGTTGATCTTTTAAAGCATTGAAGTAAAAAATTAATAACATGACTTCATATTGAAAACTGTGGATGACATAAGCATACTATTCTCTGTGAAACCAAAAGGCAAGTTAAATCACATGCTATTGATCTATTATGTATTTAGAATTCTAATAATCAAAGAACTGAAAGTTATTATATTGTGAAGATTGCTGAAAAATATGAGTTAAATTGTAAATTGATTATTAGCGTATTCTCTATCTGGATTGCTGGTGTTTATTGGCATAATATATTCAATTTCAGTTTGTTGACGAAGCTTGCCACCAGATTGAAAGGAGCGACCGAAATGTTCGGCAGATGGGAGTCTTACCATATATACCCAGGTAAACGACACACAAAATGTCCATGCTGTGATTATAATTTCTAAAGGTCTTGGTATAGTGTAATTCTAAGTTAATTTTTAATTTTATGAGATATGAGGCATTGTCAGCTTTGCCATGATTCTAGTGAACAAGTGGATTTTTTTATTTTTTTTCCAACTCATGTGCTCTGCGAGCTGCGTATCACAAAGAAATGGTTGTGCTATTTATTGATATTGTTGAAAGAACCGTTGAAAGTATCGATCAAATAATATTTGTTGTTGCTGGTACTTTTTATATGGAGCCTGAGAACTTTCAGTTCCCGAGGAAACTGGACTTGATTACGTAATTCATGGAGTACTCACCTAAGAGTTAAGAACTTGGGATTTCTTAAGCGATGTCTTATTGTATGCTTTAGCTTTAGCATCTATTTTCATTCAGTGATTTTCGTAGTCATACAAGCATGAACAGTTCTAGCTTCTGGATAGATTCGCCACTCTTGCAACCCGTATGGAGCAGTACATTCAGGGACAGTCAAGGGATTTGGTTGATCAGGCTTATACAAAATTGGTAAGTGTTATAAGCATTGTTATACAAATAATCATGTGTATTTGTTCATTTATACCCATGTATATGTGCTCTCAAAGTTTCGATACATGCTGAGGATTATAATGTTTCTTCGCCATATAACAATCCTCACATAAATATGTGTGACCTATTAATTAAAAAATTAGATTGGCGGAGACGTGTGGGAATATAGTTATATGATTACAAGGCAACAGTTTTTCTTCAAAATTTCATCTAACTTTTTGCAGTTTAATTGTGAAAATTATGATATTATTTTGTTTGTAAAGTATGTTACTAAATAAAAGAATCATTACAATTGAAGTAAAATCGCATAGTTATAAAAAATGTTTACATAAATAAATGATATTGAATACAGTTAGTAGTAGTTTAATTAATTAAATTTATGTAAACCGAATATGCATTGAGAAAAATCATATATGTTGAATACTAGTGTTATGTTTCATTACATTTGCATACGTCATGTTGAATCAATTAGGAGGACACATTGCAGCCATGGGTGCCATTTAGGCTAGGGCATATCTGAATTAGTATATAGGAGTTTATACATGGGCATGAAAGTTCTGCTTCTGTTGGTGGTTTCACATTTTCACTAATATTTTCATTTATACAATATTTACCTTTTCATATTTCTGAGATGTTAGAGCACTTACTTTTCATGCAGGTAACGATAATGTTTGTGACCCTTGATAAAGTTTCTCAAGCAGACATCACAAAATATGCAGACATATTCCTCCTAGAAAATTATGCAGCATTTCAAAACAGGTTTATATCTTAGTATATAATCGCATCTTTCAATTATAGATCATTGTTTCCCCCTGAATTGTAATGTTTCCCTAACTATTATTCACGTGTCATTGGAATTTGCAGTCTGTACGACCTAGCTAATGTTGTGCCTACTTTAGCAAAATTTTATCACCAAGCAAGTGAAGCTTATGAGCAAGCTTGTATGCGCTTTATAAGCACAATCATATACGGCGTAAGTAATTTTCTTCACAATTACTGATATGCTTCTTGTTTTCTAACTCTTGTATATGTTTAAGTTTTAACCAATAAGATTGGGGAACATGCTAAGTCGGCATCTGGCAAATGTGCTCCCATTTAGAACTTGCCAGAAAAAGATACTAAATGAGGAAAAATGGACTACAACATGAGAAAATGAAGTATGTAAAAAACTTGGGGATCACATTCATATCAAAATGCAAATGCTAATTACTTGGCTCGTCGGATTTGGATAAGACCATTTATCAAGTTTGAAAGTCCTACTATATGTATGCTGCTGGGGTCTTAGTTCTTATTTATCTTTGTCCATACAACTTCTTTATGCGATAAATTTGGCTTAATTGTTCTTTCTCACAGCAATAATATGCTCTTTGAATACTAAGCAACAGTCACGTGATATTTAATCTTTCTGTGTTGAAATTGCATGCATGAGAGGCCATCCCTTCTGCAAAAATAACACCGACAGGATATCAACATGAACTCGAAAATTTGAATCCACAATTTCATGAAAAATCAAGCAATTCAAATGACAAAGGCAAAAATAGTAGTGAATTGACACCTCAAGCTGCTCCTTCGACTACTTTCATTTTGACAGTTTTCTGATTTTCTTTATGTCCTCTTTCTTTATCCTCATTTAATCCCGTTTTAGTTAATAGTTACTAACATTTTTTTTTTAAATGCAGCAATTTGAACGACTTTTCCAGTTTGCTCGCAGAATAGAGGATTTGATGTTTGCAACTGCACCAGAAGAGGTCAGTTTGCTATGTATCTTTTCCAAATAATGCATTAAAAGCACCCATGTTTGATTTTGTGGTACAGTAACTTCTAATGATCCCTCTCTCTCTCTCTCACACACACACACACATTACACACTCACACGCACCATTGTTCCCCTTCCTGATTTGTTGAAATGCAACCATCTGTCTATTATCTAGCTTTGAAAGAGTTTCTTCAAGGACAATTACACCTCTTCTAGCAAACCTCACTATGACTTTTCGTATCACATGAGCAAGAGCAAGAAATCTACTTCATTCCACTTAAAGATTCCTTGGTTATAGCAACAAGACATGTTCACTGCCTGAATATATTAATCCTTTTGGATAATGAACAAAGCGAATCAAGCAAGTACATTTAGTAGTGCACTGGAAAGGTCTGTCATCAAATAATGTTGGCATTTTCTAGCAGTTGTGCATTCCATGTCCACATCAGTGTTCATATATTTCCTTTACAGAACTTAAAACTAAAGAATTGATGTAAAATCCCAGATCCCATTCCAGATCGGTTTGTCCAAAGCAGATCTCAGGAAGGTTGTAAAGTCGAGTTTATCCGGGGTATGGAAATGATCCTTGCTTTAATATTTTCGGCGCATTGTTTCAAGGATATATGTTGAATTTCTTGTTTATTTTCTGTTTTTAGGTTGACAAGTCTATAACCGCAATGTATAAGAAATTGCAAAAGAATCTGACCTCCGAGGAACTGTTGCCTTCGTTGTGGGACAAGTGCAAGGTACTTTTACTGAAACAGCATGAATGAAAGTTATGCTTTACGAACTACTGTATAGCCTTCTTCTTATTTATTTATTTATTTTTTCTTCCAATCGCTGTCGAACTCTTAAATGAAAAATAGTAATTAACAAGAAAATATTGTTTTTTTTTTCCCGAATATTTTGTTATCCTACCTACGGCAGGCGGAGTTCCTCAACAAGTATGATAGCTTTGCTCAACTAGCTGCTAAAGTCTATCCGTCTGAGAAAATCCCATCTGTCTCGGAAATGAGAGATCTATTGGCATCCATGTAGAGGAGCAGTGAGTCTTGATAACTCCTCAAGTTTTCAATTATAGAAGATGTTCATGGTGATCTTTATTTTTTATTTTTTCCCCTTTTTTGGGTTAGTTTTTTATGGGTCTTCATTTGATTTATTCTTTTGCGACTGATGCTCGACTGAAGATTTCTACTAGTTCATGTATGCATATTGATGCATGGCATGCTAGTACCTTAGAACCTAAATATTTTTTACTTAAGATTATGTTATTGATCAGTAATTCAATTTTGTTTAGCTGCTTCTCTTGTTTCCTGCATTTCTATATTTTTGCTTTCATGAGTTTCATCATTTCTCGATACAGTAAGAAGTATTCGAAGTTGCGACACTGGTGTATAAACCGGTTCTATTGCCAGACTGGACCTGTTAGATGACCGGTTCACAGTTTTTTCGAGTTTATTTTTGTTCAAATAATATACGTGGTGCAATGTTTTTACGATAATTTCTAACGTTCATATAAATTCAATGCAATGCCAATAAAAAGGTAAATATATTCATTGTTTCGTTGAGTAAAAATACTCAAGTTCTGTTGTACTTGAGATGCGTAAATATAAATTCATACTACTAATTTTCCTTTATAAAAACTAAATTTATTAATGTAAATATAAATAAAAAGTAATCAATGTATGGGAAGACTTTCATTTTTTTCCCCCTTTTTCCAAAGCTCTCCAAAGTCCAAAGTTTTTTATAGCTGGAATTTATTTATATTGTAGCAAAAGATGCTTTATTAAAAAGTCCTTTATATTGCTTCAATTATCCTACTCCTATCAAACATGGTGGCTCAACAAGCCATATCCATGAGATTTTGCTCACACCCAACTCTCAAAGCCTTACACACAATCCTTCCTATATCGGAGAACCCGACACTCGACACGTTCCGTACCAAGAGATATCGACTCATAGAGCTAAATTCCTCTCGACAAGACATCCATCCTCAAGTTCAAGAAAGCAAACAATCGAGCTCAAATTAACAACATTTTTCCAAGGGCGAAAACTTAAACTCGGCCCTCAATGCACTAGAACAAATGGCTCGAGACGGTATTCTTGCAGACTCGAGCCACGTCTAGCTAATGCAAGTTACCGGCGACTCGAAATCGCTACATGTAGGGGACAGGATTTACGAGCACGTCGTGAGATTCTCATCCGAGTACGATGTTTTGATCTTCATTAAGTTAATGAGCATGTCTTTAAGATGGGAGACTATAGGACAACCGGACGAGTCTTTGAGCAGATGGTCTCCAAGTTTTGAGCAGATGGTCTCCAAGGACTTGGATTCTAGGAACACGTTTGCCTGGGTTTTCTCGAGACTCGTGGAGGAAAATGGAGATTCTACAAAACCGGACGAGACGACTTTCTTGAGTGTCCTCAAGGCATGCGAAAGTCTAGGCGCGGTAGAGAAATGAAAGGCGTATTTCGAGTCGATGAGTCGTGATTACGACATTAGTCCCTCCTTGTCCTTGGACCACTATGAAATCTACATTAATCTATCGAAGAAGTCAAACGGGTTGAAAGGTGGAGTGAAAAAGGATGAGATGGGGAAAGAAGATCCGGGCCGGGTCCAAAAATATGTTCCGGGTTCCGACACTCATATATTGAACTCATATTAATTGCAAAGTTCAATAGAACCTTCGAAGCAACAATTGTCCTGCAATTGGACCAAACAAAAAGACAAAACTAAAATTGATAAATTAAGTTTGTCCGAGACAAAAAATAGGTACACATTCTACAACTATGAACTAAAAATGACATATATGATTTTTACTGGTGTGCAGTTAAGAATGTGTCTGTCATAGACATCCATCCGCTTACTGAAATAAAAATAAAGAACAGAACGTGAGTCCATCAAGCACTATCGACTGAGTTTCCAAGTTTAGGAAAACAAGATGAGATTGTTAAATAAGAGAAGACTTGGACAAGTTCTCCACACCAAAACACCAGCTGCAGTAAAATAGGACATGAATAAGGTTATAAGCTACGACGACAATTTCTTCCTTATATGTTGTGCTGCTGGCCACAAAAACACGTTTACTTTTACGAGATATCTCACTAACTTCAGAATGTAGATTGGATCACTCTCAAACATAAGGGAAGATCGTCAGTGACGAACAATCGTCACGGATGCCGAGGTTCTCCAGCTCGCGCGTCTCAAGATCGTAAAGCCATAGGTAACCCTCAGAGTCCCAAAGAAACACTTTAACAGTCTTGTAGAGGCCGATGACCCCCCTATAAACAACAGGATTACGAGTAAGAGGGACTTTGTAAGTTTCTTCGTGGGACCACACGCCTTGCTTCCATACCCAAATATCGAAAGCAAAAGGCACACTGTTCTTCTTCTTTTTCATGCTTTTCTTCTCCTGTCCATGAAAATCGTAAACAATAGCAGCAAGGGACCCACAAATCTCAGCAAGACAAACACAACCGAGCTTGATGTCCCTGAGAATTTTGCTACAGGGCATAGGGATGAGAGCAAGGGGAAACTCCTCCTTAGCAAAGTCGAACGAAATAATAGCAAGATTTCCTTGGGTGGAATGCTGTGCTAGCCAATAATAAAAGCCATCAACGAAAAGCGACGGGGACTGATAGACTTGCCACAGAGGATCATGAGGATACGGAATTTTCTTCCAAGTTTCATGCGAAAAAACCTCCGCGTGGGCTTCGTCATTGGAACGAAAATACTTGAACGAGCGACATCTCACCACCTTATAGTCCTCTGGTGCATAAGGATCAAAGCCGATACCGTAACCCCACATGTACGCAGAAATTGAGCCAGGCACGCGCGGCTCCACATCAAAAAAAGGAAGGGTTACCAGCACGTCGGTCCTAGGGTCCCACAGGAGGGGCTTCATATCTGCAGGATTTTCTGTATCATTCAACAGCATCCATGTGTCGCAACTCGCTAGGACGTGATATTTGGCATTCATACAGAACAGATTGTAGTTTTCAGCTCTGAGTCGAGACAAGTTGGGAAGAAGACCATTATCATCACCATCACCTTGATGCAGCACTTTAAACGAGTTGTTCTCCGTTGAGATTACAAAGTAATCGCGGGTCGAGTCGAGTATGCGTTGCACCATAAGCATAAGACTGTCGCTAGGTTTCAAACAGCGAGTAAGCGCCCAAATACTAGTAGCAGGAACCGTAGAGGAATTTCTTGAGGATTTGAAGCTGGATTCGGCATTGGGAACAAAAGAAAAGGGTTCCAGGCTCATACCCTCGTCACGGATACCGAGATTCTCCAGTCGGCGCTCGTCAATGTCGTAAACCAGTAGATCACCGCAGGAGCTCGCAAGAAGCAGTTTATGGTTCTTGCAGAGTCCCAATACTGAATCAACAGAAACATCTGAAGCCGGGATTTCACCTGTGAACTCGCGAGACCACATGGAAGATCCTTTCCACACCCAAATCTCGAAATTGAAAGGCTTCTTTTCAGCAGCAGCAGCAGCAATTGTTACATCCCTATTGAGGAGCTTATCGGTCAGCCATTGAGGATAATCGAAAACAACAGCAGCAAGTGACTCATGATACTCAACAAGACAATACAAGACATCGCTCTTGGGCTTGGGGATTAGAGCAGTGCCAAACCTCTCCTTAGCAAAGTCGAACGAAAGAATGCCATGCGAAATAGTTGGCCAATAATAATAGCCATTAATGAAAAGAGAAGGTTGTGGATCGGGTCTAATATAGGGGTGATGAGGACACGGAATTTGCTTCCACGAATCACCTGCAGACGCGGACAAGGACAACAACTCAACGTAGAGCTTTTCACCGGGTTCATATGCGTCGGTCGAGCGACATCTCAACACCTTATAGGTATCCCCTACAGGATCGAACCCCAGCCCGTAAGCCCAACGTTCCGACAAAGTTGGGGAAGCCAAAGCAAAATACGGAAGACATTTCCACTCGCCGGTTGTGGGGTTCAACAGAAAGTCATATGAAAATCCAATATGCCAATATGTCATCAGCATCCATGAGTTGCAAGTTGCATGAACACGATAACAGGTGTTACTGATCATAGCATCGTAGTTGTCGGCTCTGAGTCGAGACAAGTTTCGAAGAATACCGATATCATCGTCATCATCTTGTCCCAGCACTTTGAAGGAGTTGTTTTGAAGTGAGATTACTGAACAATCGAGGAAGTTTCCGTGGCGTACGTGCCGCACCAGAAGCATCAACTTGTCGTTGTTGCTATGTTGCTGCTGATCTTTATCTGCCATTTCCAACAACCAACAGCCGCAGATCCCCCTTTAAAATAATAATTATAACCTTTAGACACTGCAACATTAAATCAATCAATTAATACCATAGGATTAGTGTTTTGCAAAATCTTTCTCAACTTTAGGCACACACAGGTTGTTAGATATAAAGAAGAAAAGGCATTCAAATAGCCAAGATTTCGCCATCAATACCTGAATTAGAGAATGGGTGAGAGACGTCGTGTTCGATTTGAATTTTGGGGTAGGCTTTCGAAGTACTTCATTTTTTTTTTTTTTTTGACGGGAGGTATCCCACGTTCAACTCTGAGACTTCACCACGAACTGCCAGCCCCCACGAGGTACGAGCCTAACGGCCTAAGGGATCCACACCCAGAGGTGTGGGACTAATCCTCTAGGAGAAGTGAAGTGTCTCATCTCCACTTCCCACGATAGTCAGGTTCGATCCTTTGACCTTCGCTTTCACAGAGAGTTTCACTCTCTCACTAAGCCAGTGGACTACATGCCCTGGGGCGGACTTGGTCATTGGTCATCCGTTTTTTTTTTTAAAAAAAAAAAAAATTAATATTTCTTCTTGTAAAAGAATGCCCTTTTACTTAGGAGTGGCACGATTTTCGGTTAATCGAGCCGAACAAACCGAAGCCAAAAATTCGGTTTGGAACGAAATTGAAACAGAATATTTGTTTGGTTTTTTGTTTAAATTTTTTTGGCATTTTGGTTTTCGGTTTGAATAATAGTGATCGGTTATCCGTTGCGAACCGAAAATCAATTTATACACACAAATATACATATATATATATATATTTAATTTATACATATAAGTTATAATAGTATTAATTTGCTTCAATTATTCATGACTTTCGAGCTTCAATGATCCCTAGTTCAAGCATTAATTTTCACACAATAATTGTTTCATCATAGTCCAAGTCATGGTTTTGGATTCGAGATGAAAGAGAATTTCAAATTTATCGAGAAGGTTCTCGGGTAAGTTCCTGAAAAATTCCTAGACCCCATTTTAAGTTATGGGATAAGTTCCTAGAAAATTCATAGACCCCATTTTAAGGGTCTCAAGTTTTGATGTACTTATGATGAGTAAATATAAATACACTGTTTTTGCTATGAAGTCAACAGTTGGCTCTATATTGGAGTCAATCTTCTATATACAGCAAGTAAACCTATCATATTATCTGATTACTTAAATAACACTAATATAATTTTATTAATATGGTAGGTTTATTTGTTGTATATAGAAGGTTGGCTCCACTGTAAAGCCAACTGTTGGCTTCATAGTAAAACCGTATAAGTACATACTATTGATTTTCCTTTATAAAAACTAAATTTATTAATGTAAATATTAATAAAAGTAATCAATGTACATGGGAGACTTTCATTTTTTCCCCCAATGGACCTCTTCTGTGTTTAACGAAATGTGCGTGTTTTTACACTGTGTTTTAAAAAATACACCAGACCCCCTTATGTTTAAGTAAATGTTGCACGCTTTCCCATTCCGTCCAACTTAACGGCGCGTGGAAACACCTTCTCCAACTGCGAGAATTATTCAATTTTTTATTTTACAGAATTAATAATTTACATTTATACTCTCTTGAATGTTGCAAAATCTAAAATAGTAAATGTAGGAAGCAAGATTCAATCTTGGGGTGCGAGGAAAGGGAACGTCCAATCCACCACTAGGCTATTTGGATGGTTGTGAAATTTATTGAACATAAATATATTTATACATCGTAAGTAAATGAATTAAAATTTTTAAAATAAAGTAAACAAAATAAAATAACAGTATAATAGACCATTTTAAAATAAATTAAATAATTAATACTAATAATAACTTCCATAAATAAAATTAACATAAAAAAATAAAAAAATTAAATTAAATTAAAGTAAGATAAAATTTAATATAGTATCGTGAAATTAAAATTAAATAAATTTACATTTTATATATTAAAATAAATTGATTATATAAATTTAAATGAAAAAATAATACAAATATTGAATTAAAAAATAAATAAAATTAAAATAAACTAATTAAGGTAACATAAAAATAATACAAACGAGATTGTTTTGCCCTTAGTTATCCTCGATTGGTGAACTTCATATATGCCTACTTCATGCTCGTCTATTGTTAATATCGTGTTGTGCTAGTTATTCGTGATGCACCTTGATCGAGCTATGTTTTT